GCACTGCAGCGCCCAACCGCTCCTTTTATTCTTTTTTTTATTCTGGGATTTATTTACCTTCTATAATTGAAACTTTGTTGCCGTCACTGGACCTGAGAGCTGGCTCCAGCTCTGTGGCCACGGCTGGCTGAAAGCAGGTATCTGGGGTTTGTTTAGCTTCTATAATTGAAACTTTGTTGCTTTAGGACCTCAGAGCCAGGCCGCAGCAGGCGGGGAACCTTGGCTTCCTCCATCACTGGAGCAAGCAAGCCTCCTGCTCGCTTCAGCTGCATGGCTGCTGGTGGCTATCTTGGTTGGGTTAATTTGCATATTGTGCTGATTAGCCAATGGGAGGCATAGTGAAGGTACAGTTAATTGCCATGTTTGTCTATTATTAGATAGAATTGGATATATATATATACTAGTAATTATATAGCTACTAGAAATAAAAATTAGTAATACAGGGATATGCTTATGAAATAACATTAAATATAAAAAACATAATACAAAATTATAATTTCTATATAACTGTGTGAAAAATACCTGAATGTGTGAAAAGAACTTAAAGGTTAACATGTGAAATGAATATGATTTGTTTGGTTAACTTTGTTCAAAAGTCTTAAAAATAATCTTTCCTTGTTTTACTTATAAAATCTGAATATCATGCCTTGGCTAGTTTGGCTCAGTGGATAGAGTGTCGGCCTACAGTTTGTAGGGTCCCAGGTTCGATTTCTGTCATGGGCATGTACCTTGGTTGCGGGCACATCCCCAGTAGGGGGCGTGCAGGAGGCTGCTGATCAATATTTCTCTCTCATCGATGTTTCTAACTCTCTATCCCTCTCCCTTCCTCTCTGTAAAAAAATCAATAAAATATATTTTTTAAAAAAATCAGAATATCAGGCATGAAATACATGATCTGATGAAAATATATAAGGGAAAGCAAGGGAGTCTGGTGTGAATTTATTGGTTAGCAGTTACCATTGACTTACAAGGTAAAGTCATAGGACTTTAGACTTGGAAATGTCCTCTAAGGCAACCTGATTGAGCTTCTCATTTCTCATTTGATAAATGAGAGTCAGAGAAATAAGTGATTCTCCCCGCCCCCCTTGGCTCCCATTAGTTGGTGAAAAAGCTGAGACTAGAATTCAATCAATATTTAGCATCCAATCTAATTATATTATACATTCCAATTCTTTAGCATTCTTTGTTTCTCACAAAGTAATCCGAGCGTAACCTTCCAAATTTATTTCCTACTTCTTTTCAACACACTAAACAGGAATGTTTTTTCTCACTTCCACATTATTCTCCCCTCTATGTTTCTTGGTCATAGTTCCTGTCTGTAAACATCACTCAACATTCCATCCTTACTCTAACCCCACACACACTCTTACTATGCTCCATTGCCCATTCATCTCCTAGAAGTAATTAGAATACTTTTTCAAAAAGACAAAGTGAATTTTAGTTTAAACTATTCTACTTGATTATTATACAACTTTGTACACCTACTCAGTTACTTCTCTGAATCTGTTTCATATGCTAATGAGAAAACAGTATTTTTCTCTCAAACAGGAGAATTCATTGACATATGGAAAGTATTTTCTGATAGTCCTTGGCATACTGTGGCAAAGAATGAGCTATGTGACGATATAACACAGGCAAAAGTGTCACATCTTCTTTAAATGAAAAAAAGTAAATACCCCACAGTATGTGGAGTGGTTGTAGGCTTCCACAAAACACCTGTCACCTCTTATGGTGTTGTTGAATCACAATTTAACCAGAAGAAACAAAATTCTTCCTGGTTTGTGAAATTCCCTGTCTATTTCTGATTCTGTTCCACAGCCATACTATTGGTTCAAGTTGATTCCTTCAGACTTGTCTAACAAGTTCGGTATTAATCACATGGGATTTCCTCCTTTGACCTGAGCTCCTTCATGGATCATACATAATACATGACAGTCATTCATTTGAGTGAAAGCCTCAGAGCAGCAGGAAAAAGGACCTCTTCATTATTCAGCATTAAAATGTATAGGTAAGTACGTTTCTGACTCTGTAGTTTTAGAAGTTTTACTGTATCTTAGAGCATGTGAGAAACATACAGAAGCTCAAAATTTTGGGTTGTGTCTAGCAAGCTTCCAGTTACTTTTTTGGAAACTTCATTAAAACTCTTAGATATTTTAAGATAATATGCTTGATATTGTTTAAATAAGATTCTTGGCTGCTTGACTACATTTTTTTAGGAAATGAAAAAATCTAAAGAGATGGCTTGGCATTATGACAGCATATCTTTAAATAAGGAAGTGTTTTTGTTTTCTCATGTTCAATTTTTCAAAAAGTGATGGGTGTGAACATTAAATGAAATCAGTAAAAAAAAAAAAAAAACTCAGTTGTCTTAAATTTTTTTAGGATTCTGTATTTTTACTCCTGTTGCAGTGTCATTACTAGCTATTAAATATGCAATGAATCCTGAAGTTTTATTTAAGAAAATAAAGACATTATTTGTCTACTTTTTATACACTTATGGCATCATTATTTTCAGGTAAATTCTTTTTGAAACTTAAGAAGAAAATAGAATTTATCTAGTTTTGTTTTCAGTTAATAAATATTTCCTTTTATACACTTTCACATAAAAAAACAAGTTGTAGCCTAATCTAGTCAAACAGTAGAGTCTCAAAATGATTATATAATTTGATGTTTTTGGTGTGGGCATCTATGAGATTACAAAGTGTCTCTTCTGGTTTTCCATGACAAAGAAAAATATGATACTGATGTGATTTTAAAAAGGGGATAAATCAAAGCATGACTAGTGTGTTGGCTATGTTAAGTGTAGTTGAGCTTATTTTAAATGTCCCAAATGTTAGAAAACTCAACCAAAATAAAAATTATTTTAATAATTAAATATATGTGCAGGGGATTATGAAGTATATTAGTAAACTACCAGTCATAGAAGCAGTCATGGGGACATAAAATACAGCATAGGGAATATAGTCAATAATATTATAATAACTATATATGGTGCTAAGTGGGTACTAGACTTATAATGGTGATCACTTCATAAGGTATGGAAATGTCTAATCATTATGTTGTATACCTGAAACTAATATAATATTGTATGTCAACTATAATTGAAAATTTTAAAAAATAAATTAAAAATATTTGTACAATAGTGTACATTTAAATATATACATAAAAGAGTGAAAATTGGTAGCAACCTAAGTTTCCACCAATAAACAATAATTAATAATTACCAGTAACATAAATAAAGTAATATCAATTAATTTCTATTCATGCAGTGGATATAAAGAATTCATTAAAATAAATCAAAATGTATAAAGTAATTTATATACTGGTTTTTATCAGAATAAAATAGAGTTATCATACCAAATTGATGAAATTTTGAAAATAACTTATGGATCCTTATTTATCAATTTGAAGACCTGTGACTGGGAAATAATTCTTTCTGGCAATATGAATAAAGAGCAGAATTTTCAGTGGGCAGGGGAGAGCATATTCAAATGGCTGAGGGTGTTAAAAAAAATAAACGTATTTTTGTTCTGATAATCTTACTTCTAAGTCAGTACATCTGCATGAGTTTAATATTGCAAGGAATGTATTAAAACTAAAATTTTCTTCTCTGCTGAAATATTCCAGATAGCATAAAGAAACGCAATTTTTAAAAATATCCCATATTCCCACTATTTCACAATTCCTCCATCTGCTCTGAGGGAGCAGGGTATTCAAATAGGGTAAGAGAAGTGAAATGAAAACTAATTAATATTTTAAGATCATTTTAAAGTAGTTTTAGGTAAATTTCCAAGTAATTCTGAGATCTCTTTGGTTGCGAATGGGCTCTCTTGGATGGTTTGATTACTTTTATGTATAAATTAAACTGTCACACCCTTCCAGGTTGTCCTCTCCTAAAGGTTGCAGAGATGGTGTGTTTCTTTTTTTCCCATCTGTTCTTCCTTTCTCTGAAAAAGAAAACCTTATTACAGGGCCCAGGAACTTGGGCAGCTGTGTTATCATGATAGACTCATCATTCCTTTTAATCATCATTTCTTTCAAATCCTTGGATAGTCCAGATGTCTTAGGCCCATTAAGAGAGTGTCTATATCCACTGAATTACAATAAAAGTGTGAGATGATGTTTGGACAATAGGATGAAGATTTGGGGTAAATGGGCATATCTTAGTTTAGGAACAGAGAAGTCTTAGCAAGGCTCCTCCCATCATAACACATCTTATTTCCATTTCCTTCCCTTTGTTTGTGCTCATAATACAATTAACTGACTACACAGACATGCCGAAGACTCAGTCAGGTGCCCTACCTCCTAACAGTCCAAGACAACACGAAGCAAGGGGGGAGATGGTTATCCGTCAAACGTGCATTTCAAACTCAATTCTAGTTTATAATTGTCTATTTTAACTTTAAAAAACCATGCTCAGCTGAAACCGGTTTGGCTCAGTGGATGGAGCGTCGGCCTGCAGACTGAAGGGTCCCGGGTTCGATTCCGGTCAAGGGCATGTACCTGGGTTGCGGGCACATCCCCCATGGGGGATGTGTAAGAGGCAGCTGATCGATGTTTCTCTCTCATCGATGTTTCTGACTCTCTCTCTCTCTCTCCCTTCCTCTCTGTAAAAAATCAATAAAATATATATTTTTAAAAAAATAATAAAAAAACCATGCTCAGCATTGCAAATAACTAGGCAAAGGATATATAACTTAATAAAAAAACTAGGCAAGTGTATTTAAGTAGTGCATATAAAGTATAAGCTTTTGCCCACAAAATCCTCAAGGCCACATACTAAAACAGTTGCTGAATTTGGCCAGAATGTTTTACTAATGGTGGTGATTAAAAAATATATATATTATTTTTGGTTAACAAATGTTTTACTAATAAGGGAGTGGTGATGGAGTTATATAATACATAGGGTGCTCAGCTGCAATCAGTCACTTAGGATAGTACATTTTCCAGCAAATTCTCTCATGCTCACTATCAATTTGTCCTCCAGGATGCACTCTCAAGCTATTTTCTCAGAGATTTGTTACTGACCTTACTCTTATGCCACTCCAAGTCCCCAGAGGACTATGGTTAACACCCCTAAAATAAAACATGAGGACAAGAATCAATATCTACTGTTTTAAGGAAACCTGACGATATCTAATCCAATTCCTTAAAGGGTGTTACTCAAACTTGGAGGATATATTTCTTTTGAGTAAAAAAAACAACGACAACAAAAAACTTGCCATTATTTAATTTTTTCAAAGAATTCTTTAAGTCTAAATTTAGCATGTGTTCATAATATGTAAAATAAAAGCAACACCCCAAACCTAAAACCATTGAATGAGTAACTAAGATGACTCAGTATTGATGGCTGCTGACTGATCAGGGTGATGGAAGTCTGGGTGGTTGTGACAGTTTCTTAAGAGAATTTTGTTGTATTGGTTGACTCTTCCTTTTAGGGATGCTTTTTCTATGACACATGATGCTCTCTGATAGCATTTTACTCACAGTAAGGCTTCTTTCAAACTTGGAGTCAATCCTTTCAAGCCCTGCCACTACTTTTTCAACTAAGTTTATGTAAAATCTAAATCCTTTGTTGTCATTTCAATAACCTTTTTAGCATCTTCACCAGAATTAGTTCCATCTCAAGAAACTACTTTCTCCACTCATACATAAGAAGTAACTCCTCATTCATTAAAGTTTTATCATGAGATTACAGCAATTCAGGCACATCTTCAGACTTTGCTTCCAATTCTAGTTCTCTTGCTATTTCCACCACATCTGCAGTTACTTCTTTCCTAAAGCCCCGAACCCCTCAAAGTCATCCATGTGAGTTGGAATCGACTTCTTCCAAAAGTCTAGAGAAGTGATTTTACCTCATGTCAAACTGCTTTTCTGATCACCTCAACAATCTTAACCCCAGTATGCATTCTGCTTCCCAAGATAAGATATATATCTGCATTTATTTTTTCTGAGCTCTAAGGAATACATTCTACTGTGTAAAAAAAAATCAGTATCAGAGATCTTGAAACTCTACTCATTTTTCTATGACACAAAATCATCCTGGACAGATGATACTGAGAACCACAACTCTTTCCTCTGCTTCTGTAGACGATCTGGGCAAGAAGCCAGTAGGATTAAATTCAGAAGAGGTTGAGTAAAGATGTTGTTTTAAAAAAACATATTGATGCAACTAAATATTACTCAAGAGTACCTAAAACAACTAACCTTGGGTTTGGTCCATGATTCATTAAAAGCCACTTTTTTCCTGTAAGAACAATATCCTTTACTAGATATAGTTGAATAGAACTAACCATGATGAATACATATGGGATTCTGAATCTAGTCTTCATTTCTCTAGCTGTACTGAGAATAGTTCCAGGAAATTTCTGGATTGTCTATCATGCCATACCTGTTAGCTTATCCCATCCCATCTGTGAGGAAAGTTTTCTTTTTTTAGATCCTTTACTAATAGATTTTTACTTCCTTAAATTGTGTATTTAATTATGTTTTTCTTTCTCCTACCCCATCATGCATAATACCTCCTTTCCTGTCTCCCTGCTCTCCTACCTAAGTAAACAATGTTTAAAACTATTATATATCTTTCTATACAAATTAAGCAGGATTGTTTCCTTGGCAGTGGTTAGAATCTTTTTTACATTTGAGTCCTTATGTCACAGTCAAATCAAATATTGGAAGATGAACACATTTGGACAAAAAAATGATAATAACGCTGCCTGTGCTTCTCTGGAGTGTGATATACCAAATGTCCCACCTTAGTGGGACACACTTTGTAGAGCCAATGAATGAAATATCCTGACATTAGCAGTTTAGTACTACAAATCAGGTCACATTGAGCTGGGAGAAAGGACCCCTAAATCTGTTACTCATTTATTTTCTGTAAAAAGCAAGCATGTATCTAGTTCTATATGAGAGTCAGTATATTTTGACAAGGTGATAAGTTAAGATTCTGAACATTTCATACTGATCTTATTGTAGACAAGGCTTGTTTATGTACTTGGATTTTAG